GGAGATCAAACCAGTCAATCCTAAAGAAAATCAATCCTCAATATTCATTGGAAGTACTGGTGCTGAAGCTGAAGCTCCAGTACTTCGGCCACCTGATGCAAAGCGCCGACTCATTGGAAAAGACCCTGATATGGGAAAGATTGAAGGCGGGAGGAGAATGGGATGACAGAGGATGAGATGGTTGGATGGCATCATCAACACAATGGACACAAGCTTTAGCAAACTTGGGGGGATGGTGGAGGACAGGGAAGCCTGTCATGCTGCAGTTCACGGGGATCACAAAGAGTTGGACGTGACTTACCGACTAAAGAACAGCAAATATAATACAGGGCACACCTGTTGGATTTGGGTAGAAACCCTGCTCTGCCACATTGAAGCTTAGGCTAGTAAATTAAATGTTTTCCATGCATACTCCTGTCCTCTTTTTATTCATTTGCAAGTATATTCATGTTCTTTGTTTTGTTCAGTAAATGGGATCATGTCTTCAAAGGAGAAAGAGATTAGGAGAGCACTGCTCCTTTCAGAAATTTGGTGACGAAATCTCTTTTATCTTGTGGTTGTCCTTCCACTGGTCCTCTGTTCAGCCAATGGATAGGGCAAGAGATTGAGGATTGTGTAATAGTTTTTTGTGGGCCAGGTATGGAAACATGATACACTTCCACTTATACTCACATTTCATGGCTTGAATGAAAGTAAATTCTCCAAGAAAGATTAGAAAAATGTAGTCTGCATAAAGTCTCATGAAGAAGAATTTCTGTCACACTTTGTGTGCTGCACTCCAAGAGAAGAATATTTTCTCTCCTGTAGGGATAAAGTGTTGTTCATTCCATTAAGGAAGGTAGAGAAGTGCCTGAGAAGAAAGTAGAGAGTAGTCAGATCCATTTGAAGACAAGGAGTATTAATCAGGGAAGGATTCACAGAAGAGGGTGACATTTGAACTAAAACTGGTAAGATTTTCTCAATGAGAAAATGAGGTGAGCACGCCAGCAAGAACAAGGCGTGGTAATACAAACAAAACGCAGCGTGGTCCCACAAGGCCATGCATCCTTGAAGTGGTGAAAGAGAACTGGTGAATGATGAACTTCCCTGGGTCCAGTGGTTCAGACTTCGCACTTCCACTGCAGGGAACATAGGTTCAATCCTTAGGGAACTAAGTCAGTGTGGCGAAGAGAAGGAAAAAAAAAAATGGTGAATGATAAGGCTAGAAAATTCATTGAGATCAAACTGTGAAAGTCCTTAGATGGCATGCTAAGGGGATTGGATTTACATTCGTATGCACAACAGGGTGCCTTCAGAGGTAGTGTGATATGATTATATTTAGAATGCTAGATTTATTTATTTTGTAATTATTGAGCATTTTATGTTCTAGATATCACTGTGCTTGCTGCTGGAGATGCATAAAAGGAACACATTCCTTGCTCTGGTGATAATGTAAAGAGTTCATTAGACGGACCGTATTAAAAGTACATAGATGAAATAGGAGCTCCTTTTTTATTCGGTGTAACAAGAGATGAGGCCTAACTGTGAATATTGGTAATGAAAATGCAAAGGACTGGATGAATTCTGGAGTTAATCCGTGGAGTGGAATCTGATGGAACTCCTGCTCAGTCTGTACTGCATGAGGATATGATTTGGAGGATAGTGGCACAAAGGTTTCTAATCTGAGAGAGAAAATAGCAGATACCAAGGAAAGAGGATCAAGTTTGAGGGAAAGATTATGAGTTCAGTTGTGGACACAATTTTGAAATATCTATGTGGAAGTATTCAGGAAATAGTTGGGAAAAATGTTCTGATTGTCTGAAAAGAGGCCAGAACTGGAGTTATGACAAACACATAGATTACATGTTAGACGACCTACAAGGCGGCTTAACAACAGAACGCCAAGAAATGAAAGGTGGGTAAAAGAGACGGCAGCCAGGAAAGGCTGACAAAAAATTGTTAGAATTAGGAAAGCATTTTAATAAAGATGTGGTTGGTGAGCTGTTTAAAAAAAGATGGAGAGATGATGACAGGATAAAGCTGAAATAACCATTAGATTTGGCTATGATAGAGTTTGGAGGGACCATTACAAAAGCTTTGGGGCAAAAATCTAACAGGAACAAGAAAAGGCAGTAGCTTGGTTGACAGAAGAGTAAATATTGTATAGGATTTGTCAGACTTGAATGTATTTATAGTCTGAGGATAGAGAAGAGTGAGTTTGAACCTTGAGAAGCAGAAAGAACCCTAAAGGATACAGAAAGGAATAGGTTCTAAAGCATAAGTGGATGGATTTACTTTTTGAAACAAGGCAAAAAGAAGAGATAAGGAATGATGCACATAAAAATTTAGAGGTGAATGGGAGTGAAGCTGAGACAATATAAGGGAGTCAGGGGAGCTGGCGTGAGATTATTGGTACTTCCAGTGGAGAAAGCTTAGTAACCTGTAGGAAACAAGAGCAGAAATCAGCTGTGGATGCTGATAAGAAGGAGCAACGTGGAAGGATCCAGGTAATTTCTAAATCGTTATAGTCAGTAACATTTATATACCATTTTGTAGGGAGCTTTTATGGCAAAAGTAAAAATGGTCAGATGTGTTGGTAGCAGCTTAGCACAGCAACAAAGGTATCAGGGAAATGAGGGTGTTTATAAATGTGGAATTGAAAAGATAATCTTGGAGTTCAGGTTGGGTAGGGAAGGAAGCAAAAGCAGGAGGGCACCGATAGCCTGAGGAGTTTTGGAAGAGCCAAGACATTGGAAGTTATGTGCAAGGCTAGTGAAAGATATAAGTACTTTTGGTAAACGCTCTGCTGTAAAATCCGAAAGGACTGATCATTAGTTATAAGAATAGATCATACCACTTACCAGTTGTTCTTTGGTATCAAATTTTGTGGTTCAGCTACCACAAACTGTGCCACCTTTACAGAATATTAGAGATCTCAGGATAAACTAAGTCATGTCTTGAATGACCATATATTCTTCCCTCTTCACATATAAACAATAATACCATAAAGCAGTTAGATAGGAAAAAAATAATTTGGAATTACTTCCAAATTCCCTTAGTAATCGAGGAGGAGTTTATCTTAATGACTCAGTTTGAATAAATAAATTTTATTCAAGTGAGTTCATTGATATCCTTTGTAGAGAACATATCTGTATTGATTGTTGAAAAAAATTTTCAAGTGTGCTTTTAATATTTTACCATAATTCAGAGGTTTTTTTTTTTAATTTATACACACAAACACTTACTTTGGAATCTTGATTGACATTGTGAAGCTCAATTACATAAAATATTTAACCACAGCACAACAGCCATTTGCAGTTTAAAGAAAACCATATAAAACAATATTCCAATGAATTGCCCAACAAATCAGTAAGAAAGGACAAACCAGCCTAGTGAAATAGATAAATCAGATTTAGGCAGGGTGGTTTATTGAATTTAAATTGTGCCCAGTTGGCCCAAGAGCTATATATAAGCAATCCATCTTACGTTGTTAATGGAGGTTCTTGAAATCCACCTGATGTTTGCATTATTAAATTTCAGTCTAATGAGCTCTGCTAATACATATTGAAGATGGTTGTAAGGAGTAGAATGTGAATCTGAGCGGGATAATTTGAAAGAAACATAAGCTGAGCATTTTACATGACTCAAGGGGTATATCTACAATTACACATATAACCAAAATTGAATTTAAATGGAATTTCTATTATCCTTGTCCTTCTACCAGGGAGAATAAAGTGTAAATGAAGTAAAAGTCTTTAGAGTTACTAGTGGTTTGTTTTTATTATCTAATTTAATAGATTCTTGCAATGATACAGAGTGGCATAAAAGTTTTAATATTTCATGACTTTAAATGCAGTCTAAGTATGTATTAAAGCTTGTAAATGGAAACAGATGTCTGTGTAATTGGATATAGCACTTCACAACACCACTATATAAGTTTTATATTTTAAGAAAGTGTCAGTGTTGACAGTGAAGAAAAATCAAACTTTTGAAGAAAAATAGTTAAGTATGTGCTGTGTATTTTCTTTAAATTACTCTTTAAGCCCGATTTATACTTCAGAAGGATATGTTGATTTTGCATAGGAAAATATATGCAGCAAAAAATTGAAAAGTAAGTGTGTTTAATTTTTAAATCACTGTTTACATTGCTGTTATCATTATAATAAAGGCTCATCCAAAGTTTAATGCTAGCACAGTTTGATTTCTTTTTCTTTTGACGAGGCAATACTTTTTTTAACTTAATATTTCATCAACTATAATGCTATTAGAGACTTATTTTCACTTAGTTCACTCATCAAGCAGTAAGCTGGCAATAAAGGAGAATCGCTCCTTTGAGACGTTAATGCTTTGGAATAAATGATGTGCTGGAACAGAAATTTAATTAATTTACAGAGTATATTGATAGTCCCTTGTTACTGTGCTGTATATTTTTAATCTTCTCTAACATCTGTAGTAAAGTGTTTGAAAACCCCTGCAGTTGAGCAACTAGTAGATAATTAAGTAATAAGGGAAGAGGTTTCTAGAGGGAAAAAGATTCTTTTTACCAAATGCTGTCATAACATGAATAAAGAACTGCTACTATGATATGCAGTGAAAAAAATAATACGCTACCTAATTTGATACTGTTCCAAAGATATGGCAAGCTTCTTATATTTAAAATGTGGATTGTAGCTTAACTCTTCTCCAAAGTTTAAAACAGATGCATTTCACTGACAAGTCAGATGACTTTTAGTGACCAACAGTTTTTCCCAGTTTTTATGCCATCATTAGACGTATGTTGCTTAAATTCATTTTCTTTCTGATGCAGAGATTATGTTGAACTAAGCCTCTAAGATTCTAAATAAATATTGTAAATAATCTGAATAAAGATTGTAAAAGGTATATTTCAGATTTTCAGCCATTTTTTTCCTTCTGGCTACTGCACAAAAAATATGTAATTAATTTATTTCTCCTTCTCCCAGTATTTTCATTCACAATGTAGGCATAAAATAAACACAGAAATTTTACTGTTTTTGTTTCAGCGAAAGCTGATGAAGCATTGAAAGCCAAAGAAAGAAATGAAGAAGAAGCAAAGAGAAGAAAGGAAGAAGGTAAAGACATGTATTCATTTTGTTTCAAAGCAGTCACAGTGAAGAGTCACTATTTGGCGTGATTCTCTGAATAAAACATAAAACATCATTAAGTGCTTTAGGGGTACCTCCTGCTACTTTACAAACCTAAAGTATGACACAATATTACATGATATTCAGTGTCTTGGACACTGATGTTTGCTAGCGTAAGGTTAGTTTAGAAGCATCCTAGTGATAAGCATCTGGGGCGACAGGGAAGATACAAAGTCATACAGTGGAACTAGTGTGAGTTTCTTCCTTCTAACTTTTATCTTAAGTTATCAAAATCAGTCATAAATGGATTGATCTTATGGGTACATTTTGAGATATTTTACCAGTGATGAAGAAAAGTCTCCTTGCCAATAAGATTTTAAATAAAAATGCTCTTAAGATGGAACAATAAATTAGGAAATGTCAGAAATGTCAGTTATAATTCAGATTAAGAAATTCATCATAATTTTTGTAGATTATTTCTTTGAATAGCATTGAAGCCACCCCCTAAAAATACTACACACAGAAATCTAACACATTTTTATCTCCCCTAACAAACTGTGTTTATCCTTCAGTTTGCTGTGATGCATGTGAGTGAAAATTGTACATTTTTCATTCTCAGAGGCTTTATATATACTGTCGTAAATCGCAGTGCTTAAAGCAAGATCCAGGCAACTCTTTCTCAGTCAGTTAAGTTGATGATCCACTTGGACTGGTAATCATATCACTCTGTTGGCTAATTAGCAGAGTAACTAATTCTTCTGTGAGCTTTCAAGGAGTTGAAGCCTGATAATGTGTTCCAAAATATTGTCTTTGAGTCAGTTCAGTTCAGTCGCTCAGTCGTGTCCAGCTCTTTGTGACCCTATGAACGGCAGCACGCCAGGCCTCCCTGTCCGTCAGCAACTCCCAGAGTCCACCCAAACCCACGTCCGTTGAGCCGGTGATGCTGTCTGAGCATCTCGCCCTTTGGGCCGGGGATGCTGTCTGAGCATCTCGCCCTTTGGGCCGGGGATGCTGGCTGAGCATCTCGCCCTTTGGGCCGGGGATGCTGTCTGAGCATCTCGCCCTTTGTCGCCCCTCCTCCTGCCCTCAGTCTTTTGCAGCTGTTGTCTTTGAGTGCCACTGTCTAACTCTGAAAATTGAGAATTTTTTCATAACGCCTTCCTTTTACTATGACAACCACAAAAAATTTACACCCCGAACTTAAAATTAGAAGCTGAGACCTTACAGAAACTAAAATGTTTTAGTATGATGATGTAGAATTCTTAAAAGCACCATTCCATCAGAACCAAGCCCTCAAAACAGGGGGGAAAAAAACTGTAGCTTCAAGTGACAGAACCCTACAAATAAGTAGATTCAAACTAAATGTGTATCCAGAGTTCCTACCTTGACTCCTGTAGGTCCTGACTTTATGCTCTTGTCCTAGATCAACTAATTTTATGGTGTATTGAAAAAAATGAATGAATTCTGCTGGTAAAAATCCTCATTAGAATTCTCTTCTTTTGGCTTTATTAAATGCACATTTTGGTTTTGTTCATGGAAACAGTCTGATTTCAGTTATGCTTATGGTCATATGTAGTACAAATAGATATAATACTAAATGTAAAATAGTCTGAGCAAACTGTAATATTTCAGTACTGCTGTGTTATGTGGTATTCTGATCAATGTAACTAATTAATGACATAATAGCCCTTATAAAACATTGTGGTGCTATAAATTACAAGTGTGGCACTTATTATCAACCAACACAGTAAATATATATTGCAACAGTTATTAGTTTAATTCCATTAATTCAAATCTTAATTGGAGTCATAACCAGTTGAAAGCAGATGACATTGATATGGTAACCACGGATATTGAAATTGTTGGATGATTTATTGTTATGAAAAAATATATAATATGAATGCTTCCTCTAGTAACTGCTTCTTCTGGAAGCTTTCAAGGAATTGAAGCCTGATAATGTGTTCCAAAATACTGCCTTTAAATGCTGAAAGAAACTTTTTAAAATTTCAGAGCCCCTTGTGTACACGATGATGATTGATATTTCTAATAGTCTGTCCTTTTTTTTTTCATTAAATTAGCTCTAAACATCTTTTAAAAGATTTTTTAAGAATATGCTGATGGAAATTTGCTGTCTGACTCACGGAATTCAAACCAGGGCTCTGTAACAACCTGGAGGGATAGGATGAGGAGGGAGGTGGGAGAGAGGTTTAAGAGGGAGGGAACAGAGGTAGACCTGTGGCTGATTCATATTGATGTATGGCAGAAAACAATACTATGAAGCAATTATCCTTCAATTAAAAATAAATAAATTTAGTTAAAAGAATTTAAGTAGCTATAGATACTTGAAGGTAATATTGTAATTCTTTGATTTTCACTAAGTCAGTTGACCTTGCGGACAAGGCAATGGCAACCCACTCCAGTACTCTTGCCTGGAGAATGCCATGGATGGGGGACTATGGTGGGCTGCCGTCTCTGGGGTCGCACAGAGTCGGACACGACTGAGGCGACTTAGCAGCAGCAGCAGCTGACCTTGCACTTAGCCTTTCTCATTTCAATACCCACGAATTGTTAGAAAAGCACCTCTCTCCATTTATAGCTGTTTTAATTAGCATCTTTATAGGCCTGTCATTCTAACCAGAGTATAAATTCTAGGATTGTAGAGGATTTAGTATCCACAGTGCTTAACATGTATTAGATACAATTTCTTAATTACTGCATAAATGAATGAATGACCAGTTTACCTTTCCTTCTTTTAAATCCACGTTTAAGTAACTTATCCTGAGCTTTAAGTTGATTCCAAATAACATCATGGAAAGTGTAATCTAACCCTGTTAGGTCTTTACGCTAAGACATGCCTTCACTCAGACAGTTTCTCTAAAGAGTTACAACTAATCAAAAAGAAATCAATGAATTTCAAAATACTATCAATATTTGCTAGTATGGACTTGCCAAGTTTTTACCTGAGCTAACTGAATTTTCTGTGTATCCAAACAAAATGTGGAGAAATGATTACCACAAATATTGAAGAAAAATTCTACTGGTAAGGCAACCTATATGATGCTAATGTTAAAAGATTAAAGGTGTGTTTCATTCAGTATGTTTCCTTTGCCTGTATTTTGTGAATGAAAGTAAATTATTAGCCAGATTTTTGCTGTTGTTAGTTTCCAGAATTTTTTTCTTGTGGGCTGTCTAGATACTTGAATGCTATCAAGTTAAACTTCCCTGAAAATGATTAATGCATAAGCTGCGTTTATTTTATTTCATATAATTAGTCCAGCTGCAAATTGAAACCTGAGCTGCATCTGTATCTGTATGTGTGTATATTTCTGCATCTAAAAGAAGAATAATCTTTTGTTTCTGACCCGTAAGCCGCTAATAATTCAGTGTGTCACACCACTTATACAACTCATCCCTAATTTCCCAGCATGCTGATACGCAGCACATGGTTGAAAGCATTCTTAAAGTGTAGGTAAATGTGATCCGCCCAGCTCCCTTTATCCATTCTCTGTCACCTCAAAAAATGATTGTATTAGCATAGCGAGATCTGTGCCTTGCAAATACATTCTGACTAGTATGCAATCCTTTTCTTTGAGTGTTCTTAAATCAATATCATAATTATGTTTGCAAGTACTGTATCCAAGATGAAAGTCAGGCTACTCACCGAAACTTGTCCAGGGTAACTACTTTGTCTTCCACTCTTTAAACAGTGAGACCCCATTTAAACTGCCCTTTGTGGTCCTTACACAGCCCAGTTGATTTTCTATGTATTGAATATCACTGTATATTTACATAAACTCTCTTTTTTTTTGAACCATTTACTCTCCAACTCTTTCCATTTTTGTTAAATTATATAAAGGTTACATTACTTCATTCAGCAATAAATTTGGCTTTATAGTTTCCTTCTTTAAAAATAAGCACTTTTTTTTCTAATTCTGTATTATATTTTAGGAAAAATGAAATCTTTCAGTTCAATTTTCCTTCTTATTCTTTGACCTAATAAATGTTTGACTTTCTTTTTCTCTCTCTGTGTTTGAAAATGTTTTGACTAATATATACTTAAAAATCATTTCAACTTTTCTCCTTTTGATTTCTTTCTATATTATTGAATGCTTGAGTATAACTGCTCAGGTTTTCTGTATTTTACCTTTACACTTAAGGGTTCTAATTATGTTTTAAATCCATTTATAAGCATTATTTTTTTTCTGTGCATTTTGATTTCTAACATGAATTTCTTATTTATGGCATGAGTGCATGCACACTCAGTCCCTTCAGTCATGTCCAACTCCTTGCAACCCAGTGGACTGTAGCCCACCAGGTTCCTTTGTCCATGGGATTCTCCAGACAAGAATGCTAGAGTGGTTTGCCGTGCCCTTCTCCAGGGGATCTTCCCAGTCCAGAGATTGAACCCATGTTTATTATGTCTCCTGCATTGCAGGTGGGTTCTTTACCCACTGAGCCAACTGGGAGGTCTGGCATAAGTATATTGATTTTTAAATTGCACCTCCTGCCCCCCTTCCATGCGTTTATTCAAAATAACTCTATCCATTTGTTAGTTTTCTACTTAAAATAATTGTGTTGTTCATAGTGTTAGGCAACCCATTCTAAATTATTTGTGGAAATGGTAGATAGTGATAATACAAACATAATATTAAGTAATTCAAGTGAAGACTTAGAAGAATCCTCAATTCTCATTTGTGTAAGTTGAAATCCATCAAACCTTTTCCATGTCTACTTGACAAAAAGTAAAATAGATTAGCCTTAATTTCTTCTTTTCTGTTGTTGTTAATCCTTTAGCAAAGCTGGGGGTAGAAAGTACTAGTGATGCAAAAGTAAAAAGGGGGTGCCAGGCAATGTTCATATACTTCACATATTTTAACTCTCTTAATCCTTATGAACTCTGTGTGGTTTGTGCTGTTATCCCCATATTGTAGGGAGGATAGGAAACTAAGGCTTAATAACTGCTCTATAGCTAGTAAGTAGTGAAAACA